TAAGTTCAAATAGATTTTTTTTTTGGGAGACAAATTTCCACTTAACCTTTTATTTTTGTTGTTGTTAATTTTAGCAAAACAACGCAATAAATCAAATCGTTAAAAATGTATACTGAATATTATTACTTGACACATACATTTGTATATATTAGAAAATCTGCATTTTAAGGTCTTAACACAAAATTGTGCGAACAACCATGAACTAATTTCGACAAACACTAAATAACAATGCAGTAATATACATATATTTGTATGTATGTACATATTTATTGGGTTTTTAGACTTGAAAATGTTATTACTTAATAAATAAGTGAAAATGTAAATTTTTCGAATACGAAAACAATTAAAAATTGTTTTTAAAGTGAAAAAAATATATAACATAATATAGCTTTTTAATAGCGTAGCATAGCACACGAATTTTCTTTATATCTAAGTAAACAGTGGCACCATCTGGTTTTCATACCGGCATTTGATAATATAATAATACATCCAAACTAAATTATGGTTTCTACTAAAATTTAAAACTTGAAATAAAATAATCTGACACTACATAGATCATACTAAACAGATCGTCGTTAAATAATGCAGTGCGTGAAGGCCATTTTTATATTTGATGCCCTAAATCGAGACTGAGAATTTCAATGTAGAAATCTCAACTATATGTATAAAACAGGAATTCTACATTCATATATTAGTAAACCGAAGACCGTCCATAAATATTACTGGGAATTCAATACTGCTCTGTAGAAATTGCTTTCTGAAGTTTTTTAGCTGCTTACGGTTAACATTTGAAAGAATGGAGTGTGAATAGAAATACAAGTACAGCGATACAAAATACTAATACTGCCCGATAGTTCACTATTCGCTGAAAATATTTTAAATCATTTTGTCCAAGGGCTCTAAATTTTTTTAAAAGTATTAAATTAGCAAGGCTCTTCCCTTTGAATATCTTAACTACTATCATAACGTAAGAAACCAATGCTCACGGAAAAAATAAAATAAAACACTACCATTATGACATTTTCTGTATTTCCCATTCGCATTACGTTTATATCTAATTTTGTGTAGCTGTCGACAATTAAATAAGATCAAATAAGTTAGACGTCGACGGCCGGTAGCTGCCTAATCTAAGCGAATTTTTGCTGACGATAATATTCACAGAATTTTACGAACTTACATGAAATGCCAAAATCGAACGAGTAAATCACTCGATCACATTTACTCGTACGCATTCGTTCGATGCTCTTCGGTCAGCATTAGAAAGGCAACTAAAAATACGCATCGTAGACATGCCACAGTGACAGTACATATTTCAAATAGAATTCTGTTCAAGAATTAAAAAGGATGCGAAAGTATTTATGGCTCGTATTTATCGAATGGTCAAACCGATCGCTGAGCATACGACACATATTGACGCAAAGCGCTTTGTACTCTAAATTCCCAAACAACTTGTTGGAAGATAGATAATGGAAATCGGTGGTATGCGTATAAAAATTAAATAAATGTAAGAAATTAAAAATAAACAATAAACGAAATTAAATAGATTGAGAAAATGTCAATTAACTGTTTAAAAAGTTTATTTTAGGTGTTTCAGCTGATTTTGGTTATTCAAGTATTTCTGAGCAATTTATTTGATAACTCATTATCTTATCAGTTTTATCTTACACTATACCTTGCAAAGCTAATCGTTTTTAAAAAGGTAATAATGTGGAATATGCTCGTAATTTTTACTATAAATCTAAATATGTAGCTAGTCTTAAGGATCTATATTCAGAAAAACGCGTTTATTTTTCTGATTTTCTTTGATGAGGCATTTTATTTAATAAATAAATAACATAAGGTAAATTTACATAATGAAATTTACTTTATTAATTGAAAATTTGGTAATGCCGTAGCCGATCTCCGAAGGATCTCCGAAAAAACTCTCTGGCGGTGAAGATGATTAGTCTGTTTAAAATTATTGCAAATCTAAAAACCAAAAAAATTATTACTATAAATGAGTAAAGGTAATAATGGAAGGACTTGTCAAAATTTTGATATTTGATAAATGGCGCTTTCCCAAAAAAGTAATTTTTGGGACAAAATTTATACTTTGCTTAAAAATCGAAATTGTTATCAAAATCTATTTTTCGATTATTATCTTACAAATATATCTAAAAGGCCGTATCAAGTCTGGTACAGCCGTTTCGAAGAGTCTTCCTCACCGATTCTGAAAACACCGTTTCGAGAAAAACACGTTTAAAGTTTTGGGAGCTTACTCGTAATACTCTATGTCAAAGTTCATACAAATAAGCTCATATTTTTGAAACTATTTGCCCGATCAACTTTAAATTTCAGAGAATATTCTTAAATATGCTTGTATGTATGTTTATTCGATATATATTCAAACAAAAAACAAATCGATTTTGTTTTGAAATTTATAAGTGGATATAACCCCTTAACTCAAGCTCTACCGGCATATAGCCAACGATTGTTTTTGTAATATTGCTTTTATTTTGAAATTTTGCAGCTGCTACTTTATCACAACAAATAGTCTTCCACTCGCATTGATCATTAATGAATAACAATTTAAAAAGCTACAAAAAAAAATAATTATAATTATTATACACTAACAACAATTACGCGGGTTGCCTGAAACATATTTTAATGTGCATTTGTTTATGTTCTCATTTTCAATGAGTCGATGGTCATTATCCGATACATTCCCTTCGCATTATTTTCGCAAGATAGACAAATTTCATTGTTAATTTTATCAGAGAACGTAGACTTATAAAGAAGGTACATGGTGTGCCGATTGTCAAGATTTCACCATAAAAAATTGTTATTCTCTGATTTCATTTATACTGTAAGACACAAAAATGGGCGTTTTTATACCTTGCTTTGTCTTCTACTTCTCTCGTCCTTACATCCTAAAGATATTGTTCATATCGACCATGCGTTTCAAACTGGGAATGCTTCCGTTTGCTTCTGAATTTATTAAGATTTTTTTCATTTCGCCAATCCTGTTACTTCATACAAATCTAAATGGTGGAAGAATTATTTTTTCACTCAACTTTTTATACGCTTTAGTTAAAGATGAATAAATAAGAGTCAAGGTTTTTATAGTAATAATACTTTTTACACTGAATACATTCGAACGCTTTATGCTCCTAATCCTCCAAAATTGTGAATACTCATATAGGTAAATATCTTAATCGACTCTCTTTCATACTTCTGTCTAACTTTAAGCATTAATGACATTTTAATGGCAATAATTATAAGATATTCAATGAAATATTAAAAATAATTGAAGTGTAAGATTTCTTTCTATTTTCGAAAAAAAAGCTTATTGAAACTTTCTTGAAAGTACTTTCATTGCCATGTTGTCACCCATTACGTTACATTCAGTTTTTGTCACCCTGTATCCAATTAAAGTTTACATCCATTCACATTTCTTCTTAATTAAGCCTCTTTCTGTTTATCCAAGAAATTTACAGAGGAATTTGATTGTTTGCAAAGTTTGCTTTGTGTGTGTGTTTTTTTTTTTTTAGTTTACATTAGTGTGGCGTTTCACTTAGCACGGATATCATAAATTAATGTAGTTTTCTATTTACGAAAAAAAGAAGAAAAATCATTTTACTTTCAACATGTTTACACTTTTACATTTCATATTGACCATTACAATATGTTTTTGTGTGCCTCTTCTGCGCATTTCGTAACCGTTGGGTAAATACATTTACATTTTTACACACAGAAGCGTATGTTACCGGAAAAGTATATTTTTGTAAGCGAAACTTATACATTTGCAGGATGATAACTCCTCAGAATTGGTCGCTGTCGAAAAGAAAGCGGTCTTGCATTCACCTCTGACAATCCTGATAGGTGCAGATGATTGACAACAAGTAAGTTAGAAAGTTAGTTAAGTTGCCACTTGTTTAAAAACGTTAAGTCAACGAAAAAAAATATATACATATGTAATGAAAAACATTACTAAAAGATTTAAAACAGCTTCTAATTAAAAATATTTTAGAATGGGGTTGCCACCTTTTATTTTATTTATTAAAATCAAATAATTCAAAAAATCACTTCGGGAATAAAAAAAAACAAGAAAAAGAGTACAACTTCCATACTTTAGACATTAAGAAAACTAGCTTTAACAAATTAATCAAAAAAAAATTTTTGACATTAAAAAATAGGCACATTGTACTCATTTTCTCGGTTTTTTATTCTCGCAATAATTTTATGAATTATTTTAATTTAATGTAAAAAAAAAAAGATGGCAACCCCTTAAAAAATTTTATTAGAAGCTGTTTTAAATCTTAAAGATGTATATATATATATTTTGTTTACTTTAACGTTTTTAAACAAGTTGCAACTTAAGTAACTTTCTAACTAATTCGTTTTCAATCATCTGCACATGGCAGAATTGTCAGAGATGAATGCATGACCCCTCCTTTTTTAAATGAATATTAGCAATCAGCTTGTTCCTTACCAAAATAATATAGTGTTGTGTAACATTTTGTATACAATGAAATACAATATATTTATATTTATTTATGCATTCTTATGTGCAAATATTATATTTATACATTTCTGCGACTTATACAATATATGAATGTATTACAATTTATATATTTGCCTTTTTAATTCTAAAAATAGACCACGCTCGACATATCGTATTGCCTTGAGTGTTTTCTGTTTCAGACCCAAGAAGATCAGCAAGCAGCTGTTTTCTGTTGTTGTTTTTTTCGGCCTGTATGTAAAAATGCATACATAATATTTTCATGTTGTCTGTGGTATTTCCACAATCGAAAAATCAAGTCAGTTAGCTTTAGATATACTTGTACATATGATATATATACATATATGTCTGCATACGTTATGGTATTTGTAGTTATGAATTATTACGAATTACACTGAATTTAATATTTTCCTTTCCTCGTTTGTGTTTTCATTATATTAGTACCATATACTAAGCGCTTATTTTTTGTCTTTTATGTGGAATTATAATGCATAGGCAATTCGATTTTGGATCAATGTCACATAATTTTTATACAAATAGTATATATAATATATAATAGTATTGTACCTATTGTGGGCATATTCTTTCATAGAAGAGAGTCCTGCTATCAATGTGAGAGATATAGTTTAGTTTTTATAGATTTTGGAAGGCTTAAGTGAACACTTCAATACTTCGTTCATAAAAGACTGTATCACTTCAGTCTTTTTATTTTCTCCGAATTGTGTCCTTGAAATTGTCTGCAATAACGTATGCGAGTGCCAGTTTTTGTTCGATCAAGTAATCTGATAAGCTTGATTTTCTTATTTATGATGAGATGATGATCACTTACTCTTTTATGTAAGACGTTTGAACTTGACGGTGTAGACCCCAATAATATGAATGGCAAATCTTTACATTCATCTTATCTCTAGCGTTAACTTCTATCATCGTTCCTGACTTTTCTATTTTCAATCGATTTCCTTTAATCAACTTTCCACATTACCCACTCACTTGCTTGGGATTCTAATGCCGCTAAAGTAATAAACATTTTACGCACTCTGCAAAATAAACAAACATTTCAACACAAAAACAAAGAAGACAAAAAAACACAAAATAAAAATTGTTCGCAAATCAAACAACTTTTTGCCTGACGCACTTTCGCAATTAAGTAGTCACATACAAGCGTATATGCTCAACTAAGTAGCCACGCACCGGGTCTGCTCAATCTCAGGCGCGATGTGGCGAGCATTTGGCAAAAGTTTTGAAGATCAAAATTTATTAATGTAATAAACCAGTAGACGTGTGCAAACGCATAAAGACACATTTAAAAAAATTTTTTTTTAAAATCGGTGCTATTGGGACAACCAAATAAACAAATTGAGTGGCAGATTAGACAGATGAAAAAAAATTAAGAAAAAATTTAAATGCAATTTGCGGTATAACTGTGTAGAAGATACATTTAGCAATAATTATGATTGCGCGCAAAGTAAAACAAAGCCCCCGGAATAGTAGCGAATTAGTGCGAAAATCGGTAAAATGACCGCTGCACGCTGCAGGCGCACGCAAGTTGCTTGGCCCAGCGACCTAGTAAATCGATTATTTGATAATTCGCCACGAGAAACATAGATCACCAGACGCTTTGAATGCTTCAAGCGAATACGTTTGCGGCATCTGCGTTTTGTGCGTCAAATTGTTGCCGCGGGCAAAACAACTAGTTGGATGGTATTTACGTTCGTCAGCGCTCAGCAGCAACAACAGCGACAGGAAGTAGGCTATGGAAAGCACAGCATTCGCATAATATGCTTAATTTCTCTGCGTTTTTTTTTTTGTTTGCTTACTTTTGTCGAATTTATTTTCGCAAAGCTTTGGCACACTCACTAACCGTTAATTCGGTTGCGTTATTTTTCGACCGCGATCTCTAGTCTATTGCGTATACCACATTAGTGACGGATATGTTCTGCCAAGCAATTGGCTATGTACCGGCCAGTGTTCAGCGAGAATCCAATTGCCTGCTAAATAATCACTGAGCGTTTTAGTGTTCTGTGCTATTCCTAGCGCATGAAAAGTGATCACCAGCGTCCGTCCATTAGCCAGTCGCCATAGTCAGTCAGTACCGAGTAGCAGTGGCGAACCGAACGCGCAGTGAACCGCTGAGTGCTTGAAATTTTGCAATCAATTTGGCAGTCGCTTTCTGTAATTTACGAAAATAGCTAATGGTTCGCGCTAAACTGACAACAAGAACATCCGTTCGCAAAAAAAACGGTCGCGCGGCCCGTGTTACTCGGAAATAAATGAAAAGTAGCGCTGTACACGGAAATCGGATATTTTTATAAGATAAATTTGGAAAAAGCCTTGTAAAAGTGTGACATATTTATTAAATTGAATTGAATAAAAGTGCGAAGAGTTCTTAGTGTATTTTCATACATAAAACAGAAACCAAGCGAATGATAATTTTTTTAATTAAATAAAAATTAGACACCTACCAACGAAAATAAAGTAGCCAAGTTGACAAAGATGAATTTTAAAATCTACTGCAAAAAATTTGTTGTTTTTTTATGTACTACATGTATACGATTTTAATATGTACATAGCATACATATAGTACTATGTGTTGTAATATATAATATGATACAACATAAAAGAAAATCAGTTTAGAAATAATATAAATTTATTTTAGGGTAAATTAACAGAAAGTAGATGAAAAACGAAGAAAAACCGAAAATTCAAGAAATTAAGTACAGTAGAATGTAAAAAATAAAATATTTTTGTAATAAATTAGTCAAATAAATGCTTAAAAATTATTAATTAAAAAAAATAAAAATAAACAAAAAAGTGAAAATAAAATGTTAATAATATAATAAAATAAGTTTCAAAAATTCAAATGGAAAAAGAACAGAAATAAAATAATATAACAAAAAAATATATACATAAATAAAAAAAATATATATATAATTACAAAAAAAAAATTAAAATAGGAAGTATAAAGAGAAAAAAACGTAATGTAAATGAAAAAATAATTTATACATATATATAAAAAATAGCAAATAAAAATAAAGTAGATAAACAAAAATAATTTTTTTTTTTTTAAATAGAACTGAAAATTAAATACAATACTACACAATACCAACTAATAAAAAGTAAAATGGAATAAAATAAATAATATATATAAATACAATTATAGAAAAGAATATTTATAAAAAATTAATTAAAACCTATAAAATGTAAAATAAAAATAATTGATATAATTTGAGAAATAATTTTTATTAATAAAATAATTGCCATTTAAATAATATTTTATACCTATAATTAACACTCATAAAAAAAAAAATTTAACTAATTAATAGGATAATGTATATGTAATAAGATAGAAAAATAATAAATTATAAAAGAATATAAAACAACTTAAAAATAGGTAAATGATAAATTGACTTTTAACTAAAATCTTTAAGTTTTAAAATATTATATTTATAAATATTTGAAAGAAAATTAATTATTTGGGTTTCTTAAACAAATAAGTGAAGTATAAAATATATAAAATAAATGAAATAAAATAAAATAAATGACAAAAAATATTTCGCCTGGTCAAAATTTTTGCAAAAAGTTTCCGAAAAAATTTTTAATTCTGAAAGTAAATCGCCAATTCATTAAAATTGTGATTAATCAAAATTATTTGTTTCAAATATTCGAAAGCAGCAGATTATATAAAATTTTCCAAAAACAATAACACTTTTTGGGTGCGCAAGTTTTTTGCTAAAAATAAAACTTTAAATTAATATTTTTTTTAAATAATAAATATGTATAAAAATACCCTAAATTAACCGATTCGCCTTACAAGAAAATACAACGAAACCAACGAAATTGAAAACTCACAAACGAACCAAATAAATTCGCCAACGACAAAGGCTTCACATACCAGCTACACAAAAAGATTGCATATTCAAACAGTTTAAAAAAGTAGTCAAAAGAATTCTGATCAACTGAATATTGGCAGAACATCCCTCATCACTCATCATCACAAAAAGTCGTAGCAGTCTTTATTCCACCTATCCAGAGTGAATGCCTTAACCCTTTGTTGCATTGATTATTATTTTTTTTATAAAATCCTTTGTATGCCGTTAATTCGTAATGAGCACATCACAGCATGCCACACATCACTAATTTACAAACAAATCTAACCTCAACAAATTCGACGCCCAACAAAATGGCGCCATTACAGCCAGCGCTTGATTTGGTTGCGGAAAGCGCAAACAAAGGCAATAGCGATAGTAAAGTGGCTGGAGATAATCACACTAAACCAAACAGCTCATCCTCAACAGAGACACTGACAAATTCTAAAGTTACTACAATCGAAAAGAATGCAAATGGTATAAAAGTTGATATCATAAAGAGAAGCGTCGGTCGTACTGGCAAACTTCAATCACCGCAAGTATCCACTGTTAATCAAGAAGAAGCAACACAATCCGCCGGCATTGCTGTCAAGTCAACCAAAACTGCCGCAACTAAAACAATAAGCAAGAGCAAGCTTATTACGAATACCGGTATAATCAATGGCAGCATTACGCCATTAAAAAAGACGACGAAAGTCCCTACCATAACAGATACACATACTAGCGAGGAGATGACAAAAACGCATACAGCTACTCTTACAACTCAGTTACAAAGTCATAAAAAAACTAAATCAACGACCACACATAAAACACAATTAAATGGCAACACTGTCACACACACAACAACTTCGACTAGCACGCAATCAGAGTCCGTGTCTAAATCCCAAATTCCTCAACCGCCTATAGTAAATGTCAAAACAAAACAAAACTCACCATGCAATATACAAATTGCCAGTGAGAAGTCCTTAGATAATTCTAAATTTTTAGAGCGTGTCCTTGAAGCTATGCGCAGTTCTAAACCGCAAAGTTCAACCGGTCTTCTAAAACCTAGCACCTTTGTATTGTCGTCCAAAACAAACACGAATACAGCCAACTCAAGCGTCACCAATGGTCCTCTATCACCACCGCCACCCATTAATGGCGGCGATCACCCCCATCCACTAAGTAAGGGCGGCGGCAGCACTTCCTCGATGTCCTCCAACACCTCGGTTAGTACCAATGCTTCCTCACGCCCACCCGTACCGCCACAAGCTCAGCAACAACGTGCACGCAAACAAGTAGAATTGTTGTCGAATCAACAGGAACGCGTTCGCAGCAGCAACGTCACCAATTCCACGACCTCGATAACACGTAGTTCACGGCGTACGCAACACAGTTACGATTCGGAAGATGGTCTCATATTAAATGATGCCAAAAGTCAATCCTCTTACCAATACCGACTTGCCAAATCCTTAGCTAACGCTGCCTCCTCCATCAACTCTACCAGCAATACCTATTCAAGCAAGTCTTCCCTCAGTAATGGTTATGGTAGTAACGGTGTTTCATCGTCTGTTTCGTCGGCGTCGTCGTTATCTTCAAGAACTAGCGGTAATAGTAATACCTCGACTTCTGCCAACGAAACAGCCGTTGAGGTATCATTGAAACTACCTCTTCCCAAACCAGATTTCCTCTCAACAACCGGTTCGAGTGGAAATGCTATACGTAGTAGCGGATCAGAGCGTTTACGCATGCTCTCGCAACGTTCACCCAGTCCGGCTTTGTCGACATCTTCACGTTGTTCATCACTCAGCACATCGTATGCAACTAGCATGACAAATGGTCGCTCTACATCATCACGTCTTACGACACCACCAAGACGCGTCTTTCCACAAACATACACACGTGGTGATCCGCTCGATGTCTATCAAATGCATAATCTTGAACCATCTCCAGTGGTCTTCGATGCAAATCTCTCTTTCGTCTTGGGTTGTAAGAAGCAACCGGTGCATCAAACGCTTCGTCCATCCCCTTCATATGAGGATCCACGTACCACCTCAGCATATCTTTCGGAGAAGATACAGAACTTTTTGCGTCGCACCGATCATGTGCAAGAAGAATGGACAGCGTTGGGCAGACGTACGCGTCGTGTAGCCTCGGTGGGTCCTACAGGCAGTGTTTGCGGTAGTTTGGACAGTGGTCGCACCACACCAACCAATTCGGCTTATGATGATTTCGATACAATTAGTTTGATTGAGCGTCAACGCGAACGTAATAGTATGGAGCGCAGCTCATCGGTTGGACGTACTCGTTCTTCGCAAAATATTCTCACCAAGGCATTTCAACTGAGCAAAACACTGCCACACACGCCGACTTCGCGCTCAAATTCGGTCGCACGCGAACTATCGGTCGCCGATGATGATGATGATGATCGCACCATACAAGAGGAAGACGATAATAATTTCGATGAGGTAGGAAAAGTGTTCTAGATCGAAAGTGTGCGGATGAGTTCAATGAAAAAAATATCTCTTTATGCTAATAAGTAATGTATTTTTATTCTAAAAATATTTAAAGAATATAAATGACTACATTTCTTTGTAGAGCTTTAAGGTTTAACTTTTCTATCTTACCCATCTTACTCTCAGTTATCTTCTGGTCTCTAGCCATTGCGTTTTAGTGCTATGCTCATCGAATAAGTGTCCGAAATATTGTTTTCTTTACGATTTCTCTATTAAAAACATTTTATGTGTTTTTTTCTGATCACATTAGTGCTCAAAGTCTAGCTTAGAATCGAATCAGTTAACGTTCCGGCAAAATAAGGAATATTATTGTGGTAAAGAAACTCGGTGTTTATGATTTGTGTTCAGTACTAAACACCAATTGCCTACAAACTCGAGTTTGTGACGTAGAGTTAATAATAACATTGTAAGGAATTTGGCGATAACACAATCTATGTTATAAAGCGCATATTAAATGAGAACGTTCAGTAGCACTTCATTTAAGAAACTGATTTTTCGAAAACATATACCATATACAAAATAAATATCCAATATTACTAAATTATTGCATTTTTAAAGAACTTTAAGAATTATTCATTGTCAATGTCTTAATTTAGATGACATTCTTTATTTTCCATTGTTAGATCTAAGATATATGTTTGCTTTTCCTATTTATCGGTCTAGGTCATATATATTGATATGAATATAAATTCCACAATTTTATTCGATATATACATATGTATAGACGCACATCTACATATAATTTTTTTGTTTGCTATATTAAATTTTTAATGCGGACGTAATCATTGGACGCTAAATTGTTATGGAGTATATTATAGAAATGTGTATTAGGGTGTTTCTTAATTCCGAATCTTTTTTCGACTGACTATTTATTAATATTTGTACATAAAAGCTTTTCTTTAGAAACGATATAGCTTTTCTCTCAAATTTAAAAAAGTTGAAAATTGCACATACATATTCTTGATTCTAGTCCTTGAGTCTACATATGCTCCATTTTGATTTTTAAGCAGTTTCTTAACTCATC